TCAGTTTTCACTCGTTTCGTCTGTGGGACGATTTAACAATGACACAGTACCGACAGGATGGACTTTTCAGTGACCTCCTAAACAGTTGAGTGTGTGTTAAATTGAAAATTTAGTAAGTGCGGAAAAACAACATCTTGCACCTGGTATAGAATGCCATAAAGTGACTCAAACTGGAGAACAATCAGAACTATACTATATGGCTTTGAAGATATCGTTTCAGTTTTATTCAAAATTTAAAGGAGGTTGTTGCAAATGTGCCCATCATTAAAAGTGCCCAACTGCTAAATTCCTTAACCAGCATTGATTTCACACTCGACAAAGTTAAAAAATTTATGAAACGGCTTAAAAATAATTGAATTAATGGAATAAGTGTGAATTTTCTCAAAAACTGTTGTCCATTTATTTCCCAACCGGTTTCAATGATTACAAACGATTCTTTCACAAATCATATGCTTCCTACCGCCTGCAAAAAAGCTTCTGTCACGCTGTTTACAAGAAGGGTGACAAAATGGACTGCAGAAATTGAGCTTACTACCAATTATTATTATCATCAAAATCTATAAACCGAAATGAAATATTACATTTTCTAATGTTATTGAACGTTATTTCAATCGAACAACATGGTTTTGTGCCCGATTGATCCATAGTGACTAATTTCCTACAGTATTAACGATTAAATTCCTACAGACATAATTTAGATTTTGACGAAGCATTTGATCGAATAACTTGAAGCAATACTGATTCGTGGTGAGCTGCTGTGATCAGGAGCCTTCCTATTCCAGAGAGCTTTCATCGACACGTCCGGTAATTAGTGGTGTACCTCAAGGGTCTGTCATGGGACCTCTCTTATTCTCTGCGTTCGTCTGGGGCCGAGCACTGCATATAAACTCTAAAGTTTGTTTCTAGCGACAGCGAATCCTGAATGCAAATAAATGTGTTTTCCAGCTGGTGAAAAATAATCCACGCTACTAATACCTCCAACAAGAAACACAACTAAAAACCGTAGCTTCCTACAATGATCCTGGTATTATTATGGAAAACGTTTCATCGTCTGACCACATAGCACAAAAGCAAACTCCAAGGTCTATCTTTTAAAAGAAAACTTTTACAAAGGCATCGTCTTCTATTTTTGTTCCTCTACAAGGGTTATGTCCATTCAGTTCATTGTTGGAATTCGCTGATCCCGTGTGGAATGCCAACTTCGTGGGAGCCCAGGAGTTGCTTGAATTAGTAAATTTGCAAACTATAAAATGGTGCCTAAAATTATTTCTTGCCGCTGTTATAAGCACATGTATAAGCACATCAAAAATTTAAACGCACTCTTCTGATTGATTACAATACCAAAAATTATGCAATAATTACTATGTATCTTTGGTACGATTATTAATTAATTATACGATCTTGTTAAATTTTACTTTGCCATTTGAGCTGCCTGACTGTAGTGAAATTAATAATTTGCTTCATTTTTGCTGATTGTCTCTAATAAATGTGATGATAAAATAAAATGTATTGCCTTATTCTTAATAGTATTAATAGTATTAAAACCAATGCATTTGGTTCTCCCACTGTATTAATACTGACGTCTCTTCATAGATCTAAGTTACTCATATAATTAATTGCAGTATTAAGAATAATACTTTTTTTATATTTGAATATATGTATGTACATATTCCAAAATTTATATTATTATATAATCAAATTTAGATTATTTTGTAAGTAACAGTATTTTACCTCAATTGCAATGTGGCTTCAACTGCCTGAGTTCCCGTCATTGGTGACTTAACAAAAGCAGAAAACGTGAGACTAGTTTAATTTTTATTGGACTTCTCTAAAGCCTTTGACTTCTTTTTCTAAACTTAAGTACTATGACTCTGATGATTTAACACCTGCATATATTAATTCCTATTTATATAGAATAGCCCCACAAATACGTGTTATAGTCTTTCCGAAGTCAGTTGAACATATATAAAAACGCCTAGCAATAAAATTTAATGAGTTTCATGGGTGTCCGAATAAAAGTTTTCTGCTAAAGGTAAAAATTAATAAAAATTTATATATAATGTGTAGAAAATTTCTATTATATGTTCATTTGACTAACAACATATTTTAATTATTTATGTCCTCAATTTTCTTTATATAAATTATAAATTGTTCGCCGAAATACGTATCTCGTCATGTCACAGATATTTTTAAATTTTTGTTTTCGCTTCCTCTTCACGCAATGATGTATAACACCTTGTTTAATAACACGAAAAATTGTGGACATTCAAACTTTAGTTAATATGTGAATTCTATTTATAATTTCATTATATGATTTTTCGTTTTCTTCCTTTTTTAAACAATCGTAAATATTTAAAATGAGACGATGGCATTGAACATGTAATTTTTTTTTAATAATTCTAAATCTGTTTCATCAACAACAGGTTCTACTAATTCAATATTGTTTGGCGGTATTTCGTTCTGTTACGTTTCAAAAGGTCTCCAAAATGCCGTGTTGTAAACAAAATATCCCTCTTATTTCTCCCTTTCGCAATTATAATATCAATGATTAATAGGTGGTGTCTATAATAAATTAAAATTACCTGAATCACATCAAATTCCGCATTGCTGCACTGCACTGTTAGGCAATTTGTCGACAATTGAAATTTATGGCCGGTCACCCAGTCCGGCTGTGTTTGTCACTATTTGCTCGCGTATGCTTTTCAACTGGGCTACCAGACCTGGGGTGTGGCTAAATAAATATGGGAACAAGTTTTTCAAATATTTCAATGCCGAATTGTTGTGTAGCGACCGAACCTGGTACATACCGCCTAACTCTTTGGTCTTCAATTGAGATCGGAAAGATTATACTAATATGTTCTTGAAATCCTTTCTGCTGTACCCCAAGGTTTAGTTTTAGGTCCATTGCTTTTTATCATTTACACCGCTTGCATTTTTTAATCAATTCAACAATGTTACAAGCTTATTCTGCTGATACTCAACATTATTATCACTTTGATGTTAACAATCTGGATCAAGCGTGCAATATTGCCAGCTCTGAGTTACAAATTGTTAGACAGTTATCTGAAAGATAACATAATTTAAAATTAAATTTTAGTAAATCAAAAATATTTTTTTAAGTTCTAAGAAAGAGGTTCAAATTTTAAATATCAACTTTAATATTATAATTGATGGTATTGCAATTGTCACTGCTGGTTTCTTACTGTTTGCACAAACCTCGTTAAATTTCTCTTAAATTTAATATTACTTATATTTCCTACCGTTAGAGACAGGTGGTTTAAAATAAAAGGTCACCCTGTACCAATCCTTATTAGGTTAACCAAACAATGATAAAATACGGTGAGAGATATTGTTGATTAAAAATGTTTTTTTATTTACCATTCTCATAACTATCAAGTTCATTGAGTAGGCTGATTTCCGTTGACTTTATAAATAACATAATATTTATTATCGACTGGAATTAACAAATGACCAACTAATTTACATACGCAGCATGCCATTTGTTTCATTCATTAGATGTGAAGCAGGATTATAGTCTCGCGATCCATAATACATTATACTATTAGACCAGTAGTATTTTTAGAAGTAGGTGCATAATTAAATTGTTGCTTTAGATATTTGACTTGTCCTGTATTCATATAAGCCAATATCAAAATGAAATATATACCCACCTAGAAGCTTTAAATAAACAATTTATACTTTATTTTTTATATCTTTCAGACCAATGCCTAATAATTATATACACTAGATGATTAAGCTACTCCCAAACCACAACAGCTACATGTATGGTATCTGATACTTTACCTATATAGTAATATGTAATACAGAGACGGCATGAGTCACTTAAATATCGGGTGTCCCACGAAAAGAACATTTTCTAAAAACTTAAATATAGCAATAGTACATTTTCTGAAAAAGACAATGTTATTCTCAGTCGGGTAATCAATAAATTTTTTATAAGTTTGCTGATATATCTTCTTCAATTTTTCTGGTAACAAATTACACTCTATCTGCTTTGCTGACTCAATAATTTCTGGCGGAGTTAATGTGAATCCTTCCATCTTAAATAATAAATAGTTATTTTTAATGGATTTAAATAGGAACAATATGGCGATTACTGTGTACCTCAGTTATTTGATTAAAGAAATTGTGCGAATAGCAAATGTATGAAATATATTATATTAAATCATTCTTCTCTGATAAACACCATGTCCTAATTCAATTACTTCAAATTCACAACATAAATATGTCAGGATAATCCATTTAATTTTATTCTGTAGCAAGACTGCCGCTTGAATTTTGTTAGATTGCGACTGAATGAGTGGGTTGGTATCCTACTTACAAAAGAATTGTCCAATAATTTCGTTCGAGGCTAGTTTCAATGTACTGAAAACATATATGGGCAGTTAAATGTTATTTGTCTACGTTGATTAATCGTTTTATTTTCAAAGCATAGCCCTAATAAAATACAACAAATCCAGACGCGTTTGATGCTAATTTGAAAAATTTCGACAGCTTTATGTTAATAGAAATTTTCTTGTGCCGCCCTATATAGTATAAAATTGTGAATTTTTTATACAGGTGGAAAGTTTTTAAAATAGCTTTATACAAATAGCAACATTAGCCACCTAATGGTAAAATGTAAAGTATGGTATCGAACAATTGGATGCCATATGACGATGCGGAACTGGAAGGGGATCAATTTCTTCTCTCTGTTATCGTAAATAAGTTCAACAATCCCGTTCAAAATAATCAGCCCATAAATGTCACTGGGTACATAAAAACCCAACAGTGTACGATGCACTTGTAATACCGCATTTTTAATGTCATTGGCGTGCATTTTTTCTTCCTTATCGTTCGTTCATGCCATCCTCTTTAAAAGTTTAAATAAAATCACTGCAATTTTGTTGTAGTTTACCAAAAGCGTCATTTGTTTCTTGATCTATGTCCAATTTTATAAAAATTTGGCGTTACTAATTTCCCATTTGTTTCTTTTTCAGGTATTACTAAAGAAGTGGAAGAAGTGATTGACAAGGATGACTTCGTGCTGTCTCTCAAACATATCAAACCCAAGAAAAGAGGCCGTGGAGCTATGGAAACGCTTTTCGCAGTGGATTTTCCAGGAGCGGAGCACAAGCTGGCTTTGATACTAGACAGAAGGACAAAGAGAGGTATTTTACATTTGGAATCGTTTTCTTTGTCTTCATTCAAAATTAGTAAACATATTGACGAAAAATAAGTTAAGATCTGAATAGTCTGTTCTTTTTGCTTCTGCTCTCAATAATCTAAGTTAAGGAGGTATATCGGGGTCCGAGGGAAGTGAGGAGCGCAGGGGGAGTCCTTTACTTTTCTTATGGGACTAAAGCCCGCTGCCAATTTGAAACAATTATATTCTATTGACATTATGCACATAGCATACATATTGACTAATTAACAACGTAAAATATCATATTTAAGTAGTTTTAAATTATATTTAATGAACGCATAAAGTCTATGTAGATGTGGGAACAGCGCTAATAATTGACTAGCAGTTGTACACACTGCGAACCTACAGAACTCGGACATCGGAGATATTGCGCGTCAAATTCGGGTAAAGATGCGTACGCGTTCTAAAATGTATTGTGTGTAAACTATGCAGAATATAATTATATATATAGCAAATATATTGTATTATCCTCGCGAATATTTGTATCCTTTATTTAAAATCCGTAAATCATGTGAACTGGTAAAACAACGAGAATTATGTTAATTTAGTTCTAAAGAAATGAAATGACACTCGCGCCCATCTCTCGTCCAAGTAAAAGAAAATGTTGGATGCAATTTTGAAGGTTCTGTGATAGAAATTACATTATTACTCACTGTCCGTGTTTTTAATCTCTATTTTAGTAATGTTACAAAAGTTTTGCGACTATAACTATTTTTTTAGATATAAAGTTTGCTGAGAAATATTTATGTTCCTTTATTATTCCTTACAAATGCTTTTATCTCAAGTATTACTAATTATAATAAACAAGTAAAGAAATCTTTATGTAACCCTAAATATTGTTGGGTAATGATTACGATGTTTTTATAAACCATTAAATATATTAAAAGGATTTATCAACTGTATTTTTTATTACATTATACATGGGATTTAGGGAAAATGTATATGTTTGAAATCAATTTCGTTTTTATCAAGTATTTAAAATGTATTCCCTCCTTGCTGTCAGCTGATTGCGACGTTGCCACATTAATCCTCAAGTCAGACAGAAATGCAATTATTGGTTTCTGTTTCTAATTAATACAGCGGTTCTATCTTCAAAACTTACATTAGTTTTACATCAAAAATAAGATAATGCTGTGTACTACCTATGGATAAGTTTTGTTTCACAATTTTTACATTTTTTTCTCAGTTATATGCAAAAAAAGAGACGCACCGGCCATCTTCGCCATATAAACCTATGTTAAAATGAACAACTTTCAACAACAATATCTCAAAGTCTAGATTCAAAAAAAATTTCAAAAAATATGACGCACTGGGCAATACGCTATATAAATTTCAAGTTCATCTGTGCATTTGAGTAAACCCGATATACCTCCTTAATTTGTAGAAAATTTATACCTTCCTATCGTAGTGGTTATGCTCTGATTTTTATTTTCTTTCATCATTGAAAGGGATTTTTTTTATACAGTAAACAGTAACAGCCTAAATTCAAGGTTATTTATGAGAGAAATGTTTCGGTGTTGAATTTTGAGTGACTTTAAAATTTTATCAACTCATTTTTTAGTTAGAAGAACTAAAATATGTGAGAATGAGAACAAACTGTCTTCGTGTAATAATTATTACCAAATATGACACAAGGAAGCTGTAATATTCGTCTTCACATACAAACAAATGCTTGTAAACGGTAGCTGATGACTATGTTGTTGTAACATTCATTAGTGTTTATTCATCATTACCATTATGCATTACAATTTAAACATGTCTAGTAATATTCTATCTATTTACAATTTTTTTCTTCTTGTTTGTCATCTCTATCGTTTAAGAAATATTTGTTCATATTCCAGCTGCCTTTTTTGATGAAACACAATGAATTTTCGAATTTATCGACACTTCAAGTGAATTCTACACAGCCTATTTATAAAAAAAACGAGTCATTTAAGTCTGTAAACATTCGTGGCGATTTTTCTTGTTTAGAAGATATTTAAAAAAGTCCATTGCTAACAGGTATCCAAAGCTTGTAGCTAATTTTGGAAACTCCGAACAAGCTATTTCTACATTGCATATCGTTTGTTTTGTATTTATCATTTAGAAAAGGTTTGACGTATATTGTATCACAAAGCAAAATGCATACATTCCACATACCATAGAACTTTTACCCACAGCTGTTGCTAGTATTTTTAGGATTTTTATTTATGATAGTAGTACAAATGTCACAGAGGTATTTCAACTATTACTTTTGTATTACATCACATTTGTTTTTTCCTCGGAATAAAAATATTTTGGTACTTAAATTAATTTATTGGACGAGTAATGTAGTTTTGAAAATAACTTGTCAAAGCTATCTGATTTTCCAGTACTTAGTAAAAAATAACAGTGTAAAATTAAAGGTATGAGTGAAGTTATTTTGATGTTGAGTTTTGGATTAACTTAAGATTTTAACAAAGAAATGAGTTTGTTAACTCAATTTTTAGTTAGGAAGATCAAAGTAATGAGAACATGTGTAAAAATCATTCAATTCCCTCAGATACAGAGGACGCACGCCACCCACTGTGCCTTTTAAGACCTAAAATATCTATTCCTTGGTTTGTCAGAACAGTGACAGAGTTCCTTAAATTATGGCTGAGCATCCTAATTGCCAAGCATTTTCTAAGTCTGAGTCGTCACTTTCTTGAATCATAACTTACCAGAAGCTTAAGTTGTGGCAAAATATTATCTTGGAGAAATATCTAATGACAAGAGACGTCACGTGACAATAAATATTCGGTCTCACAGTAACCAAAGCCAAAACATTTTCATGTACGACTTGTTTGTTTTGTAGATATAAAAAACGTCATAAGCACTGCGGTTATTAAATGTCGTACTGATTTCGGACATTTGGGGGTTTCGATATCCAAACATATCCTCAACCAGTAGAGGACACTTACTGACCTTAATGCTTATAATATACTATTACTCAGTGGTACACACAAAAAAAAATCTTGCGTTAAATGTACAATATTTGATTTTTTATCGCATTTATATATAGGCAAGAAAATATTTTGTTCCTTCAAAAAAATTATTTATTTATTTAAATACGATAAATTTCTACCCAGAAATATAATTTCTAACTTTAAAAATAGGCAGCATTTAAAATAAATATCTGATACTTACGACTAAACGAATTCTATTCTTATCTCTCTCTTTATGATCTACATAGATTTTATAGAAACATGTTTCGTATATTATATTAATGTGTCGCTTGTTTAATACGAATTTGAATAATTTTGGTCAAATGATTGTATATACTTATTTTAAGAATATATTTGCATATAAATATTTCTCAGTAATAAAAAATATTTTGTTTCAAAACTCACAAAACACTTAGTACAACAGCTACTCTACGATCGTTTGTAAGTTTAACCAACCAGACGTAGGTCGATTTGGGACTTATCGATGGTCCTCATCAGTATGTCTTTAGATCGATCCAGCTGCTTTATTGTCGTTACTCACAAGGAGATGTGTATACACAGAGCGTAAGTGACTCCATCTATCGTGCTACTTCCCACCTACGCCATCATGTGACCTGCTACAATTTTCTTTCAAGAAAATTTTTTTGAGGGACAGATAGTTTGAAACAAATATGTTTGCAGTTTATAATAAACTGTAAGAGATCTTGTAGCTAAAGTCCGAGTTAATAAATTTCAAAACTGTAAAAGATTTAAATTAAATTATATATAATATTTATAAATAATATAAATTCTAAGGAAAATTATAGATTACAGCAAATATTTCACATAGTTTGACGAAAGTATCTGCTCATTTGATCAAAATTTTTCAGTGTAGTCAAGAATTGACTTTTGAGGGACAGATAGTTTGAAACAAATATGTTTGCAGTTTATAATAAACTGTAAGAGATCTTGTAGCTAAAGTCCGAGTTAATAAATTTNTAAAGTCCGAGATAATAATTCAAAACTATAAAAGATTTTTATTAAATTATATATATTTACAAATAATATAAATTTTAAGAAAAATTATAGATTACAGCAAATATTTCACATAGTTTGACGAAAACATATACATTTGAATACAATAAATTACATTTACGGCAAATAATTCCACTTAAAACTATCTGCTCATTTGATCCAAATACTTTTTTTTTTCATTGTAGTCAAGAACTGATTTCAGTTACTATTAAGTGTATACAGTGGTGCACCAATATGACACACTCAAAAGTTGTTCAATATTATATAAGATTTATTTAGCTAACAAATAGTTAAGTGAATATTATTCAACAGATTGTGTTACCATTTCAACGTAAATATGATAATTAGGATTTTGGGTGAAACTTTACTCATTTTTTTATGAAGTGTATTCCACATGTTTTCAGGTTAAAGTTTATTGATTTATAATATGTAACATTCCTCACTAGACAAGGTGTCACAGAAATATGTGCCAAAATTTGACTCATCAAAAACAACAACTTTTATTTAATTTTTTTTCGAAAACTCTTAGTTTTTAAGTTTTAAGTATAATTTCTTTAATACGGTTAAACTTCTATTCTCTAAATAAACGAACTCAAGAAATCATAATCTGTGAAAAAAGCATTAACCGATCTTTCGAGCTTGTATAAATCGTTCCCCGATTTTTCTCAGTTATCGTGGAAACCCTGGAGGACGGCCGCAAACGCTCGCAGCACTTTACCGTGGACATCCTCCACGACGACACCACAATCAACGCCCTCATCCTGGCAGTTAATCAGACTCAACCTGGGGCACACGCCAACCTATACATCGACTGCGTGTCCTACGGAATGGTGGCTACCCCCAAGTCATTGAGAGACATGTACAAGAGCATGGGCAACCCGAAAATTGAAGTGGTGAGTGTTTACCCGCCTCGTTTGCACGAACACGCTGTATTTCGCTTGGAACCCGATATTCCGCAGACTCCGGTCGACCGGTGTTGTAAATCGTGAGTCATTTATGGAGAAGACAAGTTGCTTCACTTTCGAACATAACATTTTATTCACGTAAGCAGATAAATCAGAGCTGCTGCTGTAACGGGATTCTGAGAAATCGGCAATTTTCCTCGTTCCGAAACGCACTGCGTGTGCTACTACTCTAGAAACTGGTTGTCTGGGCCGTTGTTATTACACAATTATTTTTTTTAGAATACTAGCCCTGGAAATAGCTGTCCAACTATTACAGTTTTACCTTTATGGCCTTAATAAAACAAATTAAATCGTCATTGATCAATTATTTTGTAGAATTCCATTATAATTACTGCAACAATTGTCTTTAGTTTCATGAAAAGCGGTACCCAATGGAAGTGGACTACCACAGGGATCTGCGAATGGTTTTGAGCAGAAATGAATGTCCTTTGCCTTTAGAGACTCAGTTCAGTAAGAAATTCGACAGTTTCTTTGACGATGATCTAAATAACGACCTCAGAGATGACCCCAACGTACAATCAGCTCCACCAGGATACCCAGAGAATGCCGTCGATAAAAGCGATATCCCCATACTGGATACTATAGATGATAGTAAGTGTTTTAATAATTCTATTAATGATTACCGCCTAAAAAAACCTTAAAAAATTTATATTGGTTCATCCTTGTCGACACTGTGTATTCTTACTAATTTACTAGTACTTAAGTAGTACATTTTCATAACCTAGACTACTTCTTTTCAGTTGGAATCATTAATACTTTGAACAAGCTCATTGAAGTTGTCAACTTGGAAGTACGAAGATGCGAAGATACTACAAAAGCACTGGAGCAACTCAGGCATCTTATCACTGAATGCGAGCTTTGTAAACGTCAACCAATTCGTGAAGCCCCCAATTGTCAAACTCATCCCCCTGGCTGCTATCCAGGTGTGCAGTGTCACAACACCGCCCAAGGACCTAGATGCGGATCTTGTCCTTCAGGATACACTGGAGATGGTAGGTACTGACGGTACTTTTTGCTATGATAAAGTACTATGTCCTACTCTAAGATTCTATAAGAAACATAGCCACCTTCTTCCGCTTCAGAAAACTCAATTTTCCAACGCTTACAAAATTTATTTAGCTTTTAAAGGAACATTCTCGGTTATCTTTACTGCAAAAAAGTTAAATTCCTTTCCAAAAAGTGTCATACCTTCCTTCAAACACTGAATCGTTTGTGTAGCTTCATTATGGAGCAAATTTACTTCTTTGCACCTCAGAAAACATTCATTTTCCCTTTCCATGAAGTAGCATAGCTTCTCACAGTCCTCATATCATTAATCTAACTTTTTAACAAATATTCTCCTCACTTTTCACTTCTCAAAGCATAACACTTTGTTATCTGACCGCTTCCATAGTAGTCCAGGCAGTATCTGTTTCGGGTTGGGTAAAACGCATGTGATTGGAAATTTTTGCTTTAGCGGCTTCTAAATAACATCAGAAATTATAATTTTTCTATGCAAATAAAAAAAACGTGGGTTTAATTGTTATTGCAAAAAAATGTATAAAAAAAATAGCAAAAATAATTCATTTTTTTTCTTGAATTTCTCGTCGACAACTTAGCAACTACATATTCGTTTTAGACAAAAATGGAAAAGGAAAAAAGTTTTGTAATTAAATTTTGAACAAGATAGAGTTAGTTGCAATTCGAAAAAATAATTATTGTTGTTGCAAAATTCGGAAAAATCATTTAAAAAATTGCACAAAGTGCTAGTTTATTTGTCATTTTTTTTTTCAGACACTTGAATAATACCTAGGATCTTCATACTTTTCCCAATTAAACTTCTTAGTGCATAGAATCATCACACCAAATTTCATCCAATTCGGTTCGATAGTTTTTACATAATAATTGTTTAATTTTTTTTTTTTTTTTTTAATTAAAAAATTTTCAAAATCAAATTTCTAAAAATCTAAAGCCTTTGAATACTTGAAAATTTCACCACAAAAAGAAGAGCTCTCAAGCTTTAAAATGCTTTTTGAAAAATTCAAATCGGACGATTAGGTGAGCCGTGGTGATTGTTTAAACATTTTCGCAATTTTCACGCTTATAAACAATTGCAATAATTTAATGTTTTTTTCAATTTTTTTATTTTAAAATATGGTTTGAAAGTACTCGGAAAGACGAGTATTTAAAAAAAAAACTGATGATCCGCCCATTATTTTCAGAGTTATAGCCCGTTAAAGTTAACCCTTATTTACAGCAAAAGTATAAGGGTATAAGGGCTGTTTTTTGAACTAATAGGTTTGTCATTCCGAGTACTTTCCAGATATAAATTTTCAAAATTTGCAGTCACGACCGTCCCATTTAAAATGTCACCCAAAGATATTCAAGACCGCGTGAAATCAATGAAATATCAGTGGTGGAGGGAGCAAACACCAGCTATCTGAATTCTCGAGTTCAAAATTGCAACGCTCGGAAAAATTTCAATTATCTCAGCTTCTAATGGACCAATTTCGATGATTTTTTTTTAAATCGATGTCTCGCAATTTAAAAAATTCAATTATCATATTTTCAACTACCTTTATTATTAATTATTGGACTTTTAACATGCCGATAAACAGTTACCACAGCTCACCTAATCGTCCGATTTCAATTTTTCAAAAAGCATTTTAAAGCTTGAGAGCTCTTCTTTGTGTGGTGAAATTTTCAAGTATTCAAAGGCTTTAGCTTTTTAGAAATTTGATTTTAAAAATGTTTTAATTTAAAAAAAATTTAATAATTATTATGTAAAAACTATCGAACCGAATTGGGTGTTTGGTGTGATGATTTTATACACTAAAAAGTTTAATTGGGAAAAGTATGAAGATCCTAGGTATTATTCAAGTGTCTGAAAAAAATTGACAAATAAACTAGCATTTTTTGCAATTTTTTAAATGATTTTTCCGATTTTTGCAATAACAATAATTATTTTTTCGAATTGCAACTAACTCTATCTTGATCAAAATTTAATTACAAAACTTTTTTTCCTCTTCCATTTTTGTCTAAAATGAACAGTTGCTAAGTTGTCGACGAGAAATCCAAGAAAAAAATAAATTTTTTTGCTATTTTTTATACTTTTTTGCAATAACAATTATGCCCACGTTTTTATCATTTCTGATGTTATTCAGAAGCCGTTAAAGCAAAAATCTCCGATCATATGCGTTTTACCCAATTATACCCTTTTTAAAACAAATACCGCCTAAACGCTTGTCTGAAACAGAAGTTATTCCATCCGTCCCTTTGCAGGCTACCGATGCACCCCCAATCCAAGTTGCGCCGACAACCCCTGCTTCGAAGGAGTGGAGTGTAGAGACGGACACAACGGTCCACAGTGCGGGCAGTGTCCTAGGGGCTACGAAGGAGATGGACGCAGGTGCGTCCGGAGGTCCTGCAACTTCGAGAACTGCGAAACCTGCGCCGACAACCCTTGTTTCAGGGGAGCTACGTGCAGGGACGGGCCGAGGGGGGCAGAGTGCGGACCATGTCCAAGAGGTTACGAAGGCGATGGACGCACTTGCGTGCGGAGGAACCCCTGCGATTACAACCGATGCGCCCCAGGTATGTCGCCATATGGTTCTTAATGGTACCCTTAAAGCATGACCCGTTGGCCTGTCTCTGCGCTTGATATCTCAAATTATCCATTAACGTGTTTTTTGTATAAATTTTTTAGTTCTTAATAAATCATCTAATCACTAATTTTCTGGTTTTATTCACGTCTCAGAGAACACCCTCAACATTCGGCTACGAACTATCAAACACAGGAATTGTAATCTCTCAATCAGTCCCTATTTTAGTTAGTGAGAAACACAAACTAGAACGAGAGGAAGCCAATGTAAATATTAATATATTTCTATCTCTATCTCTACCTCTACCCCTATCTCTAGCTCCATCTCTATCTCTAACTCTACCTCTATCTCTAACTCTAACTCTATCTCCAACTCTATATCTATCTATATCTCTAACTTTATCTCTAACTATATCTCTAACTATATCTCTAACACTATCTCTAACTCTATATCTACCTCTAACTATATATCTGACTTTATCTCTAACTCTATCTCTAACACTATCTCTAACACTATCTCTAACTCTATATCTATCTCGATCTCTAACTGTACCTATAACTCTATATCTAACCCTATCTCTAACTTTGTCTCTAATTATATCTCGAATCTATATATATCTCTATTATATCTCACTCTATCTCTATCTATATCTCCTATCTATCTAGAGATAATATGAGAAAACAGTAATTCATACTGTGAAACTGTTGCAGACTTGTCAGAAAGTAGATATCATTGATATGAATATATCTTTTTCCACAATAGCAATTTCTTGTAATCTTGGTAGTTCGAAATCGAATTTCCTCTTTCAGTTTTTGTTTCTAAATTGGCCTTTGCAATTCCTTTCTATAACTCACACTTCAACATCTGCTTCTTAGCTTCTGCACAGCTTAGTTAATACAAATTTGATGCTTATACTGTCCAAATGTTGAAAAAGAATATTTTGCGGCTTATTAGAATCCGTATTCCTGGTTTACTTTCTTCCTTCATTAACTTACCTAATCTACAATTTGACTTTCAAGTATTTACTCTGTCTTTCTAGTATCTACTATCTAAATAAAGATAGAAATGTTTTCTGAAAAGATTTTTAAATTTAAATGTAACAAGCAAGCAGACAAATATTTTCAAACTTTATCAGCAACATTCAATCATTGAATAACAGAGTTAATATTATAATAGAGTTAAATATGTTAAGGCATTTTGGTGATGCATGTATTGAAATCTAAAAAATGCAGAAAAACTCTTAAATGTGAAAAGATGTATACCGATTCGTTACGGATCTTATAGTGCTTGCAAACTGGCACTAGCTGTACAGATTTTCGAGATATTTTGAAAAAAATCTAACATTTTTATTATCACAAATTCTATAAGTATAATAGCAAATTTTTGCAAAGACTGTCACTGACAATTCAGATTTTTGTTTTAAAGTTGAACTTTCTTTTTTATGCTTTTCGCAATGTTATTGAGCTTTTGTGCCTACAATACATCGTTAAAAGCTAAGAAAATGTTTTTTTCTTCCATTTATTAAGACGACCTATTTTTCAAACTGTCTCGAAAGCCTAAACAGCTAGAGCTAGAGAAAGGTTAATAACTATTTGGTTTTTCTACCAAAGTGACCCAAAGGAAAATCAGCCAAAGAAAAAGTTTTATTTTCTGAAATTTCTAAAACCGCTTGTATGACATGACACCTGTCTTGGACTAACACATTTTTATTTTGAAACAGGATGTGTTCCCATATGGCCTCCCCACAAGTGATGGAACCTACCCCAGAGTATTCTTCAGATACGATCAGAAATGAGTGTTTTTTTAATTTTTTTCTCACACAACACTGCATTGCACTGAACAACTGCACCAGCACGTAATATATGATAATATCTGCACCCACACTGACCCGATTTTGAGGATTTTTATTACAATTATAAAAATTGTAGTGCAAAACTAAGCGTGTTTTAGTCACAATTGTACTCTATAGGTAGATGTGACTGCATTTTATTATCTAGTCCAAATATTCTTTTTTACAGTTTTGAAAAGGGTCTTACATATATTTAGGATTATCTCAACATCTACTACACAAAAGTAGTACCTAAATATTTCTTGAACTATATAAACATTTCTTGATTTTACTTTGTTTACAATTTAATATGTTGTCGACAACACAAACGCACAACTCAAATATTAAACATATTTTAGTATTGTCTTCTTGCAAGGCTTCTAACCCGGGTATATGGTATAACTGAAGAACACACAGCACTTATAATAGCCAGTAATCTGTTAAAATTGTAATTTTGTGTTTTATGTAAATGTAAACTACTTAACTATGTATTGTTTTATACAATAAAGAGTATTCTATTGAAATGTATTATTTCATAACAAAATATCATATTAAATCAGTAACGGTTACCCAACTTAAATTGCTTTAATAGACGAGAATAAGTGTGTAGTATTTTAAATTGCTCAAGTGTCCCACAAGGCACGGCTTCATATATGGTAAACAGGTGAGCAGCTAGTGCAACGCATTGTGTGACCTTTACTCTGTGTTTCAAAATAAAGGTGTTGGTTGTGAAACGGATTTTTTTCCAAATAACTTGTGATAAAAAGTTAATGAAACATGTTCTATGGTTTTTAGGTTTACAGTGCTACCCCACGGAAGAGCATCCTTACTACAAGTGTATGCGTTGTCCGGAAGGAACGACTAGTGATGGCGCCGGTTGCCACGACGTAGATGAGGTGAGTTATTTTTAGAATTTAAAATTTACTTTTCAAGCTTAAAGGATTTTATGTATTCAAGTTTATAAAATTGCAGTCTATTTCATTAATCTTCGGCTATTATGTTAATGAAGGTAAAATTTATAGCTGATTCTTTAGTTATAACTACTGCAATGACTACTGTGCAACGTAAGCCAAATAGTGTCATGGATTTTCGTTGGTCATAGTCTCCAACGGAATATAAAGTGGTCGTGCGCCTCCATACGAAAAGCTATTGTTTATGAAAGGTTTTCGACATCACCTTCTTGTTGCAATTTTGGTTTATTTAGTACAAAATTTTTGTGAGATTTGCTTGAAATGTCTGTATAGAAGATTTAGGAGCTAGTTTTTGTAAAACCTCTTTAGAGAGTCTGATATCAATGCTTTAGGAGCTTGTATTTTCAAAGTCCCCTTGGAGTGTCTGGTATGGAAGATTAAGAGCTTGTGTGGAAAATTTAGCAGCTTGTATCCCTCAGTATCTTCGCCAAGTTTGGACAATACCTATTTGGTATGAGCTATGGGAGCTTTGAGCTCGTGAAAATTTTTTAGGAGGAAATGTTTAACTTTATTTTGACAAAGGTTACACAGCCCCACAAATAAAGTATTTTTTCTGTGCATCGAACTATATCCTTATATTTTTAATCTTGCTGAATCCGAATCCGAGGTCTGTTTGGCCTTGCCAGGTCGGGTTAAAGATCATTTCAAGGTCAAACCGTTAAAAATCCCCTAAGGTAGGAGCAACTATGGTTATTATATATTTTTAGAGTCGCTGAATCCGAGTCCGAGGTCCACTTGACCTTGTCAGGTCAGTTTAAAGGTCATTTGAAGGTCAAACCGAGAAAAATTCCCTATGGTGGAGGCAACCATGGTTACTATATGTTTTTGGGGTCGCTGAATCCAAATCCGGGGTCTGTTTGGTTTTGTTAGGTCAGATTCAAGGTCACTATAAGGTCATTCTAAGGTCTAACAAAGAAAAATCCACCATAGCGGGAGCAACCGAAGTAATTAAATTGTTTTTTCGGGCCACTGATTGCAAATTAAGGTTCCTTTTGTCTCTACCGTGTCAAGATCAATGTCATTTTGGGGTTAAACTGAGTAACTTCTAAATAGGGTTTTGTGGTAATACTCCAGGCTTTTTTGGTCGCTTTATAGGACTCCATTTGATCTTATTGCATCAGGGTTAATGTTATTTGAAAGCTAGTTACTTATAATACCTATTAATGGGCTTGTCTTACAAAGCAATTTTTGCCTCGCTCATCTGTAATGGACCGAAAGACTCTCAACATTCACGAGTCTCCACATTAACATGATCAATCACATTTGAAAATCCGGCACTATAATTTTATACCGCATTATTGATTACTAACACTTTCATCTTTTGCGGTACGAAAGATTCTGGATAGTTGCCGTGCGGGATAATTGCGGGTTGTTTTAAAAAAAAAGGTGATGATGTCATAATGTTGTCTTCAATCATTTCTCCTTGGCATTTCGTTATGTTTTGTGAACACTTCGAGTATGATACTCTTGTGTCTATTATCACCGCAGGATTGGACCTGCGGTGGTTGGGGCACAAATGAGGTGTAGATCGGGGGCAGAGTGCTCACGAACAATTTTTTGAATTTATTGTTGTTTATTATAAATGGTATTTGATATGCAAAACACTTTATATGGTGCTAATATTAATTTATGTGTCATACTACATATACTGGCCAGATATCCGTCCCTGCAACGTACCAGAGTTGACGTTCACTCACACTTCTCGATGGGTCGCGGAGATCCTGTAGTGAAAGTTTAGGCAATTAACCTCTGTGGGTTTTGCCCATTTTTGGACTGTAGACGCCTGAAACGACAATTGAGACTTTGTATTGCACTTTCCCAGCACGAGTTTCACATTTTTTGGAGAAGTTTTTATTTTGCGAAACTGGAGTAAATTTTTTGACTGTCTCGTGCGTTGTCGGCGGTCGCATGCAGCAATTCAAAACATAGGCGAAAATTGCATTTTCCGAGCCGTCTCTGAGTCTCTACTTTGAACGGAGTTAGCCCTGCGTAGACTGATTGCAGACGGACTCGAAACTTGGAGTACGACAATAACTCAATAACAATTTAACAAAAAACTGCTGAAATTCTTTCGTTTTTTTTTCGCGCGTAAACCTTCGTTTCTCCTTATCATTTGTGAGTCACGCTATATCCCCAATAGCGTGTCTTTAAAGGAAACCAACTGATGTCTGCTTGGGGATTATATCATCTCATGTTCCTTCTATCCACACGTTTCTTCCCCTTCACCAAATTACTTTGGCAATTTATTAAGCATCACCAACCATTTTCTCCTTCAGTGCGACCTAGTGCAGCCTTGCGACCCAAGAGTGGAGTGTACAAACCTCAATCCCGGCTACAGGTGTGGCCCGTGTCCTCCAGGGTTTACAGGAAGCGGAGGGATGCAAGGAGTTGGAATACGGTACGCCGAAAGCAACAGACAGAGATGTGTCGATATAAATGAATGCGCAGATGGCAGGCACTGTCCGTCAAACTCTGAATGCATCAACACCGAGGTAACACCTAGATAAAATTTCTTTGCATATAAAGATTCACCTCCAAAGGGGATATTTCAAAATTCCAGGGATCCTTCCACTGCCAGTGCAGCTACGGTTACGTCGGAAATCAAACAGTAGGATGCTACCCCCGAGAAGGTTTCTGCCTCAGTGGCCAAAAGTGCGACAGGAACGCCGAATGCATAGAGTTAGGATACGGTCACTATTCTTGTCAGTGCAAGCCTGGATGGGCTGGGAATGGTGAAGTGTGCGGTCCCGACAGAGATATAGACAGGTGGCCTGACGTCGTCCTGCCGTGTTCTGACCGAAGTTGCAAATTGGTAACACCTACTACCTTTTTTGTTTGTGATAATATTAACCATATTTGATAAAGATAAGATTTAACGCCAGGTCCACTGAATATAATAAATTCTTTTCAGGACAACTGTCCAGGTATACCAAATTCTGGACAGGAAGATACTGATGGAGATGGCATAGGCAACGCCTGCGATAGGGATGCTGACAACGATGGTGTCGAAGATGGAGTAAGTATTGCCATTTGAAACACAATTAAACAAATTTGGAAAACCAGCATGACCACTCCTTTTGGTTTTCCCTTTTCGATATTTTCAACAATACGCAATTTCATATGTGTATTATTACAGGACAACTGCCCTCTTCACCAGAACCCGAAGCAAGAGGATTCCGAAAGAGGAGGTGGTGACTACGTAGGTGATATATGCGACAACTGTCCTTACGTAAAAAATCCTGACCAAACCGACATCGACGGTGATGGCATCGGAGACGCCTGCGACGACGATATGGACAACGATGGCATTCCCAATCGCGAAGACAATTGCCCAAAGGTGTATAATCGTGATCAGTCTGACAGAGATGATGACAGGAGAGGGGATGTTTGCGACAATTGTCCAGATGTGTATAACCCAAAGCAAGAAGATGCCAATGAGAATCTTGTGGGAGATGTTTGCGACAGTCCTATTGACACTGATAAGTGAGGAAGACCGATTTTCTATTTAATGTCCAATAAAATTGGTCAGATGTTACTATATCATTGTCCAACACCATGCTTTTTAATCTGGGATTTATTGAAACATCTTTTCAGGGATGGTCACGCTGATGTTTATGACAACTGTAGATTAATTCCTAATCCGACACAAGTTGATGATGACGGCGATGGACTTGGAAATGAATGCGATGATGATATAGACGATGACGGTATCCCTAATGAACGAGACAATTGTATTTATTGGTATAATCCAGATCAAACAGATACAAATCGTAAGTATAACGAAGCAAAATTTACAAAATTTATAGAAATTAAAATAAAAATGAAGAATTGTAGGTACTCAAGACAAACTTGTAATAAACACCGAGTTTTCTATTTTCAGTTTTCAACCCTATAAAATAACAACTAATTCTAATATGGCTTCTTTACAATTCTTTATTCAGGTAATGGTATAGGAGACATATGTGAAGACGATATCGACAAAGACAACACAACAAATATCCACGATATATGCCCGAACAACTCTCTTATTTACCAAACGGACTTCAGCAAATACCAAACCGTCGTCCTTGATCCTGAAGGAGAGTCACAAATAGATCCCAACTGGGAAATATACAATCACGGTGCTGAAATAGTGCAAACCATGAATAGCGATCCTGGACTAGCGATTGGACATGATGCCTTCTCTGGTGTTGATTTTGAAGGGACCTTCTTCGTTGACACTGAGATCGATGACGATTACGTAGGATTTGTCTTCGGGTAAGTTGTAATAGCACACATGTGTAACCACAGAAACAAAGACTAGCCTTCTAACTAGACTCAACAGTCTTGACATTGCTTCCTTCACCAGGTTTATCCTCTTCTACATAGTTAATAGGGTAGCTGCCATCTACAAGACAAATATTACAACGATATTTCCAGAGTTTGCAATGGCCAGTTATCATCTTGCTATATTTTTTCAGTTACCAGAGCAATTCAAAATTCTATGCTGTCATGTGGAAGAAGAACCAACAAACCTACTGGCAGTCCACGCCCTTCAGGGCAGTGGCCGAACCAGGTATCCAGATAAAGGTCGTCGACTCAGAAACCGGCCCAGGCCAATTGCTAAGGAACTCCTTGTGGCACACGGGCGACACCCCCAGACAAGTTAGGACCCTGTGGAGGGACCCCAAGAATGTCGGATGGAAGGAAAAAACGTCGTATCGCTGGTTCTTGATCCACAGGCCTTCTATTGGTCTTATCAGACTGAAAATTTTCGATGAGCATCGCATGATTACCGACTCTGGCAATATATTCGACAACACTTACAGTGGAGGAAGGTTGGGAGTGTTGTGCTTCTCCCAGGAGATGATTATCTGGTCAGATTTGGTATATAGGTGTAATGGTGCGTATAAATATTCAAATAAGGATACTTCGACGTATTTTATATTTTAATGTTCATTGTGTTTCAGATAACTTGAGGGAAGAGATTTATAATGAACTACCAGAAAGCAAGAGGAAGAGTGTGTCGATCGATAATACACGCTCGTTCAGTATCGCCCCACCATCACCGGAACCACGATTTTAATGCACATTAGATACTGTTTGTAAAATAATGTACTTACATTTCTCACCGTATACTATAACATCAATTACTTGTATCATTAACTTACTTATAGTAATTTCATATATTAATATAATTTTGTTGTCTGCCATTGTTAATATTTTATAGACTTTTGTTTAATACAAAATCCAAGTAGACAGATTCTTTATTCCAACCAACGGGAATATATATTTACAATATTTTATATAATTTCTATAAAATAAGTTAAAAAGGAATGTTAGATTATAACGTGCCGAAATCTCAGGGAGTTAATAAATGATTAAAAAAAGTACTAACTAACGACACCGGGTGATATTATGTGCACGCCATATGCCCTGCCTAGCTATTTCCTATTTAATTGAGTAAATAGAAAAAACAAATCAAGGAGGCAGTGCCTTTTCCAGGTTTCAAGGCCAACTATTTAGAATATTTTGAAATAGGGCGCCATGTGATTTGATTTAACTGCCCTTTTTCGCTTCACCTGGGAACTCGAAAACCACAAAAGAGTTCCCAAATCTAACTGATTAAGTAACAATTTTTTCTATTCTTTTGGGATTGTTCTCTAAGAATCAGAGTGGAAGGAAATATTCAAGAGGTTTTTATTTGTGACGAAACAATATATTACAGAATATTTTGAATAACTATTATCTACGATAATAACCTTACAAACATTAATCAACAGAATATCAATTAACATATTATTATACCAATCAATGGATATACACGACCTGGTTTACATGGGGTAACAAGTTGTAAGAAATATTATTTAATTTAATTTTACGAGTAGTTGACTATTTAACCTACACAAAACGTAAATTTGAGTAATTCTTAAGACTAAAGTTTATTGTTTTCCTCACAACTAGGGGTGGTACTTAGATAATACCTCACAAGGGTACTAGTATTAAATATGGTGGTTGATAAGTACCAGTTAATAATAATTCAATTAAAAATAATAATAATAGTAATAACGATAATTTGACGTCCACTTATCTGGCAAACACCAAGAGTGTAGGTTCCAGAGGGATCTAGTTGAGTAAGGGTGAATGGTATCCAACTTGAGTGGTGAAAGGTAAGTATTCTTCCACGTGGCGGAAGACAGCGGGTGGAAACAGCCCACTAAAACTGCCAAGGGTTGGTAAGATCTTAGGCCCTCAAGGAAGCTTACGTAATCCTATTCTGACACGTGTGGTAGGAGTAACCTTGGTGGGGAAAAAGTAGTCCCACAAAAAAACTCTAGATATACAAAAATACATTAACTAACGCCACAGCACATGAATGAAAAGTTAACAATAATTCTTATAAGGTACATACCTCCTTTGTAGAGGGTTTTCTGATTATCAGGAGATGGTAAAACGGTGTAGATGGTGACACACTATAGAGGTAAAACCTCTACCGTGGAAAATTATTTCCCAGGTGCTGGACAATTGATGCTGACAACATAAAATCCCCAAAAGGCTATACTTTTAATACCAAATATCTCCAATAAAAGTATAAATCTCTGCCAAAAGCACTTTAAATCCCAAATTGGGGTGATTCTAACTTTCACAAAAGAGCTTGGCCACTTAGTCGTGCACACTTGAAAAGCAAGAAGCACACTTGAAAAGCAAGAAACCTGACTGTTTTTCCAGAAGAGTCAAATCTATTTTAAAAAAGTCTTGGAGGGAAACAACAAAGATACCAACAGAAAAGAAAATAATAACCTATAATTTCCGGGATACCAATCCACTAATGGAAACATTATCAACACTCAAGGGAGGGAATTAGGTAAACAATAAATTAATAATGAGTATATGAATAGGAGTATATAAATAAAATATATTGGTGATACTTATAATATGATAGAAAAGACGGGACGAACTATTTTAAAACTTAAAGATACCTGCTTTGTTTAGGACACCTTCTTATCTCGTGGTTTTGTAAATTTTACTGCGCCTATGAACGGTGAACTAGGCGTGAGGAAGACGAATAAATTTGGTGATTTCTTTCACTTTCCGAATCGCTATACGATATTCAAATAGGCAATTCAAAACACTTAGGTAACGGGTGATTCATTTAGAGGTACTTTCTTCAGTAGCGAGTTTAAGACAGATCACGCATGAGTCGAGTGAACTGTCGTGGTATTTTGGTTCAGTACTGTCTGACATTTCATGATGGAAAGACTTAGCCCGGCACAACGTCTACAAATAATTCAGCTGTACTTCGAGAATCAGCGTTCTGCCAGGAGTGTATTTCGTGCTCTTAGAGCAACATATGGTCTCGATAATCGGCCCACCGAACGCACAATTCTCTACACTGTCGAGAAGTTTGAAACCCAATTTTCATTATTGGATAATACGCGACCAAATAGACCGAATACAGCACGAAGTGCAGAAAATATTGCGGCGGTAGCCGAGAGTGTACGTGATGAACATAATGAATCAATTCGGTGCCGATCTCAACAGCTTGTCGTATGCAACAACTTGGCGTATTTTACGTAAGGATCTTGGTTTGAAAGCATACAAAATTCAACTCATTCAAGAATTGAAGCCGGCTGACCTTCCAAATCGTCACCGTTTCAGTCTTTGGGCTCTTGAACAGCTTGAAGAAGATCCAATGTTTTCGACCAAAATTTTGTTCAGCGATGAGGCCCATTTCTGGCTTAATGGCTATGTTAATAAACAAAATTGCCGTATTTGGGATGAAGAACAACCCGAAGAACTTCAAGAGCTGCCATTACATCCAGACAAAACAACGGTTTGGTGTGGTTTATGGGCTGGTGGAATCATCGGTCCATATTTTTTTAAAAATGAGGCCGGCAGGCGTAACTGTGAATGGCGCCCGTTATCGCGCCATGCTAACGGACTATTTGCTGCCTGAAATTGAAGCCCGTAATCTCGATGACATTTGGTTCCAACAAGACGGCGCCACTTGCCATACAGCCCGTGCAACCATGGCTTTATTGCGAGAACAATTCGATGAACAGTTAATTTCACGATTTGGACCAGTGAATTGGCCTCCTAGATCATGTGACATCACACCTCTAGACTTTTTCCTTTGGGGCTACGTGAAGTCCAAAGTCTATATGGATAAGCCGTATACGATTGAGGAATTGGCTGCCAACATTACTCGGGTCATTCGTCAAATTCCACTCGAAATGCTCGAACGTGTAGGTCATTTGAAGACGGAAAAAAAAGTACTTTACTGTTTTCTCGTGGAAATGAATGGAAAAAGTTATAAGCGAAAAACGTGAATTTATGTAAAAATTATACAATTAACCACTCTGTAAACAATCTTCCCCCCATTTTTATGGTTGTGGAAACTAATATGTTTATCTATAGTGATAAATTCAGCTTGCCGAAACAAAAAGTCGCGAAATGGTCATTACCCAGCTCTTTTTCATGGCCCATATGATTGTGATGTGATTATGGATAAAACGTTGTATTGCATTCGTGATTTAATTGCCTTTTATCCACTTAAGAATATTAAACATTCCTGTATAAATAAAATGCTTCTTAAAACACTTATACAATAAATAACTATTATGGGGTATAAAGAATAGTTGAAAAATCAGTTATACACTTTATTCCTATAAGTCAAATATCAAAACAAACTTAAAAACAAAATGATTGAAGCGAAATACCTAACCAAATTCAAAACATATAATGTTTCGCATTTAGATGGGTCCCTTAAAATATATTATGGCACATTTTATGCTACTCTTAAAAAACTAAAACAATATTTTAATTATATAATAAAGGCAGTTATTGTCGTGCAGACCAATAATATCGATTTCAGTATTACAATTCGCTGAGTATATTTAAACAAAAAAAAAAACAAAAACTAGAATTATATTCCAGATTTGGTCTTTTAGAAAATATGCACCAATATTTTTCTACTAACTTGTATAGTTTATGATCGACCTCAACGAATTGCACAACTAGAAAATAAATATATATATTTATATAAAAACTATTAACAAAAACAACAGTATATTCGTATGTACTTAAATAAAAGTAAATTTGGTCCCTAACTTGATATGAGTATAACAAAATGTTAGATCAGTGCTAACCTAAAACAAAGTTAACGGAAAAAGTGAAGCATACACTCATGCATACGTTTAGAGACGAAACGTCTTCACAACAGTTACCTACAGTTTGATTTTGGATTAGTAACCCCGGGATGCGTTGTAACAACTTAATCCCAGAGTAACTACTCTCCTGACTGCCTTGACGGATAAACATGTAAATTTTCCAAGTTGCACCGGAATATTTGAAAAATTCATATTAAATAACTTGATAAACATTTTAATCGAAAAATATGACACTTTTAAAGCCCGAAAAATAGTTCTTTGTGTACTAATCTTTTGTACTTATAAATAATATAAAAACTAATAATTAAGAATACAACCAATTTACCATTAATGATATGTACACTGAAAACAATGTTACGCGGATACAATAATGTTCTCTATTTTTGTACAGATATTATATTACTCTTTATTGTCAAGCTTTAAACTCTTGCTAAAATTCAATTACGTATATATTGTACATTGACAGCGATCTGGTTAACAGTAACTCTTGGGGTCAACAGGTATACATCGAAATATTTCGTACATTTAAGATATGAGCATGCGTTACAACTAAACCATTGTAGGAATTGTATCGGAAAAAGGGGAATGCGCTCGACCAACAATTGAACTATTTGATAACGCATGCAGAACAGTATATTTATTTAAAAAGATCAACTCTTAAATTCGACTGTCGTGTTTGAGTTCTACGAGTTCTTGGGGTTCTGCATTTACTCGATCTACTGATGTAACGGGATCTCCTAGTTCTCCCGCACTCAGTATGTCGACTAGTTTAGCTCCCAGGCAGTCGCACATCACGTTGATTGTAGTCCTGAAGCGGTCACTAAAACACAAGATAACTTATACAGTTTTCTTTTAGTGCGGTTGTCGTGAAAACCCCACGTTGGGCGCCAAAAAAGTGCACGATGCCAAAAACCCCTTTAATTTTGAGAGTATCAAAACGGAATAGAGATTGTGATGATAAAGTATGTGATATCTTATTTATCTCTGCTTTTGACATCATGACACGCTGATATTGCTGACACGTTTGTTTAAATAACTTTTGAGATAGTGAGTTAATGGCTAATTTCACTAATGGATTAAGAATTTTTGAGCACTTATTTTGAGAATATTATACAGGATGTCTCGAAAGGGTCTGTACAACGCTCCACCAGATAATACTTAGAGCTAATTTTGAGAAATTTCGTATCCGGGTTTTATTTTATCGGCGATTTCGTTGTACCTTCTAGAGGGCGCCACGAGCGATATTCGGATGCATTTAAACTGCCAAACTTTTTTATGCCACGGTGTATTTCACTTTGGGTTGGAAAAATCTTTTCTCCCTTGGTGAAGCGTCGTACAGACCCTCTGTATATTTGTGTACAAAAAAGTCACTATAATATTGATTTACTATTCTCAAAGCGAAAGGTTACGTCTTTAGAGCATATTCACGTTACATCGGCATGAATGGGGATCATTTGTGCTGGCACTTGACGGTAATACTCACAGCAGCCAATCCACGGCTATGATGTTGATTACATCTTCTGAAGGGAGTCCGACTGTGTCGAGCACCATCACCATAGTGACGAGGCCGGCTTGTGGAATCCCCGCCGCCCCGATGCTAGCTGCCGTCGCCGTTACACTGGAAATCAAAGCCGTCGTTAATTCGAACGAGAAATAATTCAGTTTTTGATTTTCCACCTCTAATAATTTGAATCAAACTCAGTATGCAGCTTATTACATTTTAAAACAATAGCGAAATTCTTGCAAATCGTTAAAAATAAATAATCGACTGTTATGTCTGAAAATAAATCGCAGTTTTTGAAATACTCAGTAATTACAATTTTTTAAAAAGCTTTACTAACCATACAGCTACAGTTTTTCCAAAAGTGAGAGGCTTGTCCCTTAGTTGAGCGATGAAGATAGCTGCCACTGCTTCGTACAATGCTGTCCCATCCATGTTTATGGTGGCTCCAATTGGAATTACGAATCTGGTCACTCTAGGGTCCAACCCCATTTTGTCCATTGTCTGGATGGTAATTGGCATGGTTGCAGAACTTGAAACAGGAAAAGACTGATCAACAATCGACATTTAAGCCTAACTCTTCTCTAATATCTTCTGTTAAAATTTGTAACAATGTATTGGCTTGATGTTGGACCACTTACCTTGATGCTGTTCCGAAAGCGGTGACCAACACTTGACTGAGCTCTGCTATGACATTGAAAGGCAGCCTCCTCACAGCTATGAAGTAGATCAGAGACAAGGTACCAAATCCGTGGATGGCCAGACCCAAGAGGACCGTGGTAAAGTACAGTCCAAGACGTCCAATCAAGTCCAGGAAACTTTCAATCTCCATTACTTTGGCCGTCACCAAGAAGTAGACACCCAAAGGAGACAACCTGTTGGATATACCAAGGTGTGTATACATTTGTGAGGATGGTCTAGTTTTTATCAAAATCTACATATTATTTGTTGTTATATTATATTTCAAAATTTTTGGAACTCTCTAAAATTATACTCTAATGGAATTGGATCGATCTACATGTTGAGAATGAGCCACTGCATCTTATTATTAAACCTGAAGCACCACCAAAGAGCCGATTTTTTAAGCAATTTTTGTTTTTCTGTTTCAAGAACAGTCCAAAAATATCTATTGCTCTCTGCGTATTACGCATAAGAATTAGTAACTGATAATGTACGTTACTTACCAAATTACCCAATTGGTGATGATCATCATAGCTTCGCTGGCGGCTTCAAAGAAATCCAGCAATGGCTTCGACCTCTCTCCTAATTTTCCCAGGGCTATGCCGAATATGATGGCGAATGTAACCAATCCAAGGACGTTAGTAGTGGATTCGTATCGTTCTTCAAAGGACCACGTCTCTAAGTTCTTTACTTGAAATTATAAAAAACGTCGTAAATGATATTTTACATCTTTCGAGTCAATAACTAGGTATGTACAGGAAGAGATAATATACATGAAATAAACAATAGACAATATTTACCTACCAATTGTATGATTTGTTTGATTTGACGGAAGCGAAGCGTTTTCTGGCTTTATCAGATATGTTTGAGACTGAAACAAAAAGATGGTACAGGTAAATAATTGATTTTTTTTGTGTATAATCGACTTTTTCCATTCAAAATTAAAAATATCTTAATACTAACGTTTTAGGATACGTTGAGTAGCGTGAAAAATATAACGAATAAGAAAGTTTAACTGGAATTGTAAAGAATTATTAAATCTTGACCAGAACTTGGAATGTTTTGAACCATTGAAGCAATATCAGTGAAACAGAAACATAATCTTCAGAATTGAGTGATCGAAATCCTTAAATATTTCTGATTATCCAAGATATCTCATTTTGTCATTCAATCTGCTAATAGTTCTTGTTAGTAACGCCACATACTTATTTTATTATAAAAGCATACATGGTATGTACAATTTAACTTTCCATGTTTTATCCAACTCTGATTAAACATGAGTATTCATTTTCCTATGGAATTTGTATAAATATTCATGGATAGAGAGCACCAACATGGATTCCTATTGTAAGTCAGTTAAGGCCGACCGACTGTTTTTAAACATAAACACGCTTGCCTACAGCGAATTAATAATCCCATTTGGTCGCACGTGGCCTTTTCAGCACAGAAATTCATTCGAAACGGCTGATCAGTAGCCATGGTTACCGCCTCTAGTACATTCAGGACTTCTGCTGAACTTTACAAATATATTTATTTAGTTTGTGCTGCAAAGGAATTACCTCTATTAGTAGGTACAGTCATTGAAGCTTTTCACCTCCGAATTCTTTGAAACTGAACCGATCGACTTGAAATTTGGCAGATATTTAGAGAAAAGATCAATGAACATTAGTGACATAGCGCCGATTGACGCTTCCACCCTCTTGGGGGTTGACACCCCTTCTCGGAGGTGGAAAATTTTTTTCAAAAATAACGCTGGAAATCGATAGGTAATCAAATTCTGAGCAAAAAATATTCGAAGAATTTTTTCGAGAAATCAATAGTTTTTTTGTTATTCACGATTGAAAACTTGGCATTTTGAGTGAAAAAAAAAACACTTTTTCAAAGTATTTGCGCAAATAACTCAAAAACTACGCATTTTATTAAAAAAAGTGTTATGAACAAAATTGTAGCTTATAAATAAACAAAGAAAACTGTTTTTTAGAAAGTGTTGTACGTCCTATACTTAGCGAAATATGGTTAGTGGAAGAGGACTTGTTTTGGGGGGAATACTCGAATCGATGTATTCAACGTCAAATAACGGAAAAAGGATTGATTTTACGACTATAACTCTCCTGGAGTTTTTTGTAGTACTCAAAAATACCTTCAAAATGAGCACCTATAAAAGTTAATTAGAGCAAAATTGAAGGAGTTATCGTCGAAAACAGATGGGTTGCTCATATTTTTTAAGGAAAAAATGAGCAGTAGACGCTGTACCATTTGCATAAGAATTAATTAATCGTAGACACTTTACAATTAGTTTTTTTTTTTTTTTAGTGTTTTTCATACGATCCTGAAGTTAGACCGGTTTAGAATGCGTATTTTTTTAATAATGTACGGTAAAAGTTGAAAACGTATTTTTCATTATTCAAAAAAAATTGCCTTATTTACATAATAATTCTGAAACTATGAAAGTTACGTAAAAATGATAGACAACAAAAATGTAGCTTATTTTCAACAAATATTTTGCTTTTTTTATTCCTATAGAATAAAAAATAAAGGAGATATCGCCGCTTTCCATTTTAGTGAAAAAAACATGTCTCGAGCCTTTCGATCCTTTCCCTTTAAAAAACGAAGGATTTAAAAGGTTTTATATGCAAACGATCTTACAGCTCTTGAAATTATCTTTAAAATGCTTTTTTGTAGGATACTATAGCTTCAAAATTAACCGAGTTATGGAAAAAAAACCAATGACATTTTTTCGGAGCAAAATAGGCTTTCTCATTTTTATATATTATATATTATATTATACAAATAAAATAAGTAAAAAAATTTAGTGTGATTATTTATATGCAGCGTAGCAATTTTTTTATGATTGATTATATTTAAAAATCGATTATAATAAAAATATTTTACATTAATATTGGTAAAAGGGTAGTTTATAAGAATTGAAAATGGCAAAAGTAAAATATTTTTTCATAAACAATATAAAGGAATTTTTATTTTAAATTATTGCACAATAATAGCATTCCAAGATTTAAAACGTAATTTTTTATTATTTTTTTAGCACAGGGGTGATTTATAAGGGTTGAAAAGTGTTATGAGACACACATTATTTCATAAGCAATGAGGGATTTTTTATTTTAAATAATTGCACCGCTAAAGCATTTCAAGTTTTTAAAAAGTAATTTTTATTATTTTTGTCAATACAGGGGTGGTTTTTAGGGGTTGAAAAGGAAAAATTCTTTTATTAGCTATCAAGTAACTTTTATTTTAAATAATTGCACGATTTAATAATTCCAAGCAATTTTTTATCATTTTTTGCATAGGGGTAGTTTTTAAGGGTTAAATAAAGGGTCGAAAAGATCAAATATATCATAAAATATATTCGAGAACATGGAACATTTTTTAATTTTTGTGCTTGAACAAGATCTTTCTCAATAAAACGCTTAAATCTTAATTTTTAAAATTTGTTTCACTTAGGGTAGTTTTTACCCCTAAAAAACAAAAAGCGTCAATCGGGTTTATGTTACTTTTGAATTTGAGCCTAAGATGAGCCATATTCTAAATTTTCATGCAAATCCATGCAGTTTCAAACAATTCGGAGGTTACAGCTGATTTTTAGCTTCAATGACTGTACTATATTTTTTTTACTCTTCGGACTAGATCTTTGTTTCCTAAAATATTCCATTCCGTTCGCAAATCATCTGTGGCGTCACACCACCCGACGCGCGACGGCTCAATGTATTGTCTCAATTTCTTTAATTGTAGTATAGTTTTAGTTTTTTCTGTCATACTTTTTCACGTGTGGAAAATAAATTAAAAATAAAGAACTCTTTGTATCACAAAAAATCAGTTAATATTTATTTTTATTAAACTATTTTTGCCTAGCCAAATATACAGGGTGATTCACAATTTAGCGCGAATGGGTTATTTTTTGAAAATCTGGTCAGCGATCTTTGATCCGCCATCTTGAATTTTGCAAAATTGACCTCGGATCCGTGATCAGCGACCCAGAAAACCCCCGTATACCAAATTTAGCGCGAATGGGTTATTTTTTGAAAATTTGGTCGGCGCTCTTGGATCCGCCATTTTGAATTTTGCAAAATTGACCTCGGGTCCGTGATCAGCGACCCCGAAAACTCCCGTATACCAAATTTACCATCGATGTCGAGAATCAGTTTAACTCAGATCCTTTTTTCTATTCATCTCTGACTTTGACATGTAAATTAAAACTGAAACAACTTAGTTCTAATTCATACAAATCAGGACCATCAAGATTTCATTAAGCGTAATCGTAGAAAAGAATAGTACGAAAGTAAAATCTAAAATAAAATTTATAAGAATTTTTTCAAAAGCATTATCTATTACACAATAAAGAGATTGATAAACTTGTTGACCGTGAATAATACACAAAATTATCATCAATTTGTTGAACACAATAAATTCGGAAGAAATTGTAAGAATAATAATCTCAGTTATTGGAAGTTGGTATAAAACAAATATTAATATTCAAAAATTTCTAATTGCAATGAAAACTTGAACTTTGTAATTTAATACATTTGCAATATTTTCAATAAATTAATGATTTTCTTCATGAATTAATTCAATGATTTGTTTTATTGTGTGAAACTGAAAACCGCATATTTTATATCAGCACATTTTTCCAATTACAGTGTTATGTCCAATGAAATGGTATGAATATCAAATAATTCACTTTTATAAAAAGTTCTTTGAACACAAAGCATTATTACTAGAGCTCGGGACTCGGTCGGCTGATCATAGCCATCGCGTCGGCGTTTCGCTACAGCGCACCATACGAAACCGGTAATAACGGCAGTTATTGGCTTGGCGTTTGCATCGCGTATACGTGTTTTAATATTCTAATAATGTCGTACGCGCCAAGGGGTAAAAAACGACCTTTCGCTGATAAAGAACACAAATTTATTTATTTTTATTTATAAATATGTACCTGTTTATTTATTTGTTTCTGACGAACACGCCTATGACTAGCCGATGAAAACCCCCGAGCTTTAATTATTACTTCAAACGAAATTTTGTCTGTTCAGTTAATTGAGATAATTAAAAATGTAATCTTGAAACCAAACAAGGCCAGATATCCTTCTAATTATTTAATTAATTAGTTTCGAGCATATCTCGCTCTTATTGTGTATTGTGCGATGTAGTATTTAATAGTTGTTTTCAGGAGTTAGTACTAACTAATTATATATTCAGACATTTTCTTCCTCTCACCCCTTGCTAGTTACAGTAAAACCGCTGCATTGCAATGGGACAAATTAGGAACCTAGACGAACGCATCTACAATTTCCGCGTTGTAATAGTCAATGGGAAGGGCGCCAAATTTTAATAATAGCTGGTTTATTAATGCAGTGACGATGACGATATTCAAAACACAATCATCAAATTGCTTAGAAAAACAGCTTATAAAACCAATTAAATAGGTAAAGCTCAAGTATTTCAATAATAACTCACTGTTGTACAGTGCGTCTCAATTTCTATGTTATTTCAACGTTAGCCCTTTTTTTAACGAAAATTTTCAAGTAAAAAGAGATTTTCGATAACTATTAGTTATTAAAAAAGCACGTCACTGAAATCTAAGCAAAGAAATCTATAAGATGAAGTTTGACAGAAATATATCATCGAAAATTTCAAACTTTTTAACTTTTGGCTATAAAACCTGGGAGACAGTAAAGTACATAGAAAAAACTTATTTTGATCTGTAAAATCTCAAAGCTATCAACGTTAGAGTAAACCTCAATTCCCTCCTTTAATAATAATAGAGATATTGACATCAGTAATGAAATGCACTGTACGTTTAGTTTTCTATAAAAAATAAAATAATATCACTCACCTGTGAAACACACGCCTGGACTATATTGGGAGGGAATACATTTCTGAAAAAAAAAAATCAGATAGATTTTACAAAATTCTGTCTGCTGTATTTTTTTTAAAGCATTTGTAAGAAAATACCTATTTCTATCGAGTAAATTAAAGATAAATTCAGGGTTTTGTAAATTAATAACTTTTTTCCTCCAACAGTTTTGGAGGAAAACATTTTTTAACATTTTTTTTAGCCACATAAAATACTCATAATTTAAATGAAGAAAACTTTAAACAATTAATTATTTTTTAGTATTTAAACTAATGCAAATAAGAATTTCCGAAATTTTTCCGTGATTTTGACAGACTATATTTAGGTGAAAAATGGTTGTATCGGGAATTAAAAAAAACATTTTGAAGCTCTATCATGCAATTCTAAGAAATAGAGCGAGTCTACGGGCTTGGAAAATTTTTTTCATTATTCAATTCATTCATTTCTAAGCCATTACACCAGATAGCTTGTTTATTCAGCTTCAATTTCCTTTTCTTTAAATTTCGATACGACTATTTTTCATCGAAACATCGGACTTTTGGAAAAGGATCCTTTTGTCTTCATTCATCGATATCTCGGCGGCAAATGGTTCTAATTGATGGACAGTTTCGAAAACTGGAATAAATTTCCAATAACATGCTGCCGCAACTTTTTGGAAAAAACCATTTAAATCTTTTAAACGAATTTTAATAAACAGGAAAAAAGAGTAATTTATGGTTTTTTAGAAAATTGACGGCTAAATTAGAAATATTCTCGAAATTACTAATGTTAAGCATGACTTTTACAGTTCGATATACCCAGAAGAACACTGTGAAGTTTCATCTCGATCTAGCGAACCGTTTCTTTGTTTTAAACAGTCAAACTTTTGAAAAAAATTTAAAGTCACGTTTTTTTATCCTAAACACTTCATAATCATGATTAAAATGGGAAAAAAAAATTGTTGAGCTTTCCTCACATTGTTACCGCAAATAACGTTTAAATTAATGAAAAAAAAAAATATTTTTTTTTTCAGAGAAGAAAAAGGGTACTTTTGAAAAAAACTTTTTTTTAAGTAATTAGACACTACACAAAAATTAATTAGAAATTTGTCTCAAAAACCGGTATGAATCGGGTTCGAAATGTGGTTTGGATCATCAATTTTAATTTTAATTTATTTAAAAGTTGTTGAACAGAAAAAGGACGAAAAAGCCGAATCGTGCTGGTAATAATTAGATTTTGTTTTCTTCAATGTCCGCAAGTTTTTTCAAAAGAACAAAAAAAAACTTCGAATATCAGAAATTTTTTCGAAAATATATTTGTTTTTTCATCAATCAACGTTACTTGTAGTAAAAATGTGAGAAAGCCTTAAAAAAATCCATTTTAATCATGATTATGAAGTGTTTAAGCTAAAAAATCGTGACCCTTTCATTTTTTTCAAAAGTTTGACTGTTTAAAACAAAGAAACGGTGCATTAGATCGAGATAAAACTTCACAGGGTTCTTCTGGATATATCGAACTGTAAAAGTAATACTTAACATAGTCATTTCGTGAATATTTCGAATTTAGCCGTCAATTTTCTAAACAACCATAAATTTCCTTTTTTTCCTGTTTTTTAAATTCGTGTAAAAGATTAAAAAATTTTTTCCGAAAAGTTGTAGCAGCATGTTATACGAAATTTATTCCAGTTTTCCAAACTCCTTCAATTCTTTATACGACCATTTGTCGCCAAGATATCGATGACTGAAAACAAAAGGATCCTTTTCCATTACAAGTGCGATATTTTGATGAAAAATGGTCGTATCGAAATTTAAAAAAAATGGAAATTGTTAATGTTCCGTTGAAGTGAATCTTCGATATATCCTTCATCTACTGTGTTGCTTCTTCAATCTCCAAAATCTACTCATCATGTCAATATGTAAATTAGCAACTTTGTTATTTATCAACAGCTGTCCATGACGACAGAGGTTGACAACCAAAAGTTGGCTCATTGACATTCCAAAACATCTCTTCAATTTGCAACCCTTGCAATTTCTTCATTCTAGCAAGCTTATAAATGTCGGTCAAATTCATTGTTTATTGTTCAGAGGTAATACGTAACTCAAAACTTTTTATTTTATTGTGTATTTCAACTCGACACTTTTGTGAATTTTAAGAGTAATAGAAATTTATCCCACTTGCTTATAGTGTAGATATATAATAATAATTTGGTATAATAGAATACGAGCTATCTCAATAATTCTAGTAAATGAATTTCGGGGTGAAATTTATCAAAAAATATATCGATTTTCATAGAAAACCAACATTTTTTTAAAAGAAAAAGTCATGCTGGGGCTGACGAGCAGGACATGGCCTAATTCAGCAGGAAATTTCGATGTGGAGACGCTAATGGTGTCATGTCAAAATGTATCCGGCCCAGTCTATGAATACGACATAACTGATGACACACGCGGTCTGCTCGTCTACTACTAGTCACCTTGTTTACTATGCAATCATAATGGATGATTTATACAAAGGTCGAGTTTGGATGAATTAAGGGGTCTACGGCTAGAGCACACACTACAACAGCAGAGCTTCGCTGGGGCGCATAGAGCAAAGATAGACTACGGTATTTAAGAATATGAAATGAAACCTAAAGAGAAAGATACACTATTATTTACAAAAGTACTTTGTAAATATTTCACAGGTAACAAGGGAAGAAGTTTGGCTCAAAAGGTTCATCAGGTAATATAACAGAAGCACCGAACAAAATTTTGCTATTGTTAGAAATAATCGCAATAATAAAAGTAGTTATTTGCTCTATTGTTTGCTACATAAAGGAATTACATAATGGAGTATTTTCCAACTTTCATTTAATTCTCGAGTCTTGAAAAAGTTAAGATACGCGTTGTAACTTTTTAACAATATGCCAGGTTTGATCAAAAAGTAACGGGAATTGTAAATTTTCACAGAAAGTATCTATGTGATCTGTAATTTTTATCCCATCTCCTTTAGGTATATCCTTGAGGGTTGCTTTCGGTGTGCAACAAAATAAAACTCCATCTCAACGGTAAAAATAAAAGTATTTTTATTGAAAACAAAGTTAGTGAAAAAGAAGTGTTGTCGGGGCGAGCTTTCGCTGGAGAGTCGTCGTGGTGTGGGGTCGCTCGCAGGTATAAGTATCTGGTCCTTGGCGCCAATCTACCGTGGTCCTCATCCGGAACCCATATCCCGCGTTGCACATTGTTTCTTGTTGCTTGCAACGGTTAGGCCGGTCCGGACGGCGTCATTCTGGTGCTCTTGACGTAATACTTAAAATGGGTCACTTGCGGACATGTGTACCCACAGCCTTGAGCATTGTTTGCGATTTTGCCTTTATCTCATCTATTGTTGAAAAACGTTGTTGAGTTTGAGAATTAGGAAAAAGTCACAGGGGTCTTATTCGGAAAATAGGGTAGTTGTGGCATCACAACCGTGTTGTGTTTCGCCAAGAACTGTTGAATAAGCAAAGCGGTATGCGCCAGTGCGTTATCGTGGTGCAAAATCCATGAGTTGTCTCTCATATTTTTGTTGTATATTTTTAAAGAATACAAAAGGAAACAAAAAACACTTGGAAGCGGATCATTTTCAATTTCATTTACTTATGCAAATACATAATTTACCATATTTTAATTCAATTGAATCGCTTAACTTACGAGGGCGTTTCAATTAAAACTACCCACCTGGAAAATGTCAAAATTAAAAAAAACTAAAATAAAAACCTGAAACGACTTTTTAAATTTTGAAGACAAAATATCAATGAATGAAAGAATGTTATTTTATTTAAATGTTCAAATTAGTTTTCCTCCGCTTCCATACAATAATAAATTCTTTGCTCCACTTCCGAAGGAATATTTCGAAGCATTTCGAGTGTTATCTGATGACATTTTTCAACAATTCGCAGACGAAGCTCCTCAAGGGAGTTCGGTCTTGTTGCATAAGTCGACTTTAAGTGTCCCCATAGAAAAAATCCAAGAGCATTAGATCTGTCGATCTGGGAGGCCACTCAATTGAACCTCTGCGTCCTATCCAGTGATTTGGAAAGTTCGGATTAAGAAAATCACGCACAGTTATGGCATAATGTGGTGGAGCACCATCCTGCTGAAACCACACATCCTGTTCTGGCAAAGCGTTGTAATTTTCCACTCCGCAATAAAACGGACGCAACAATTCTGTATAACGGTGTTTATTTTCTTGAGAAAGGCAGGAGCCATATACAACATCAGCATAATTCAAATGAGATAAGACTAAAGATTCGGTAAGTAAAATTTTGGTCTGGGGATGTAGATACTTTTTAAAGCATTGCAACTGTTTCAATGATAGAAAAGCTTTCTTACAGATGACGGTTACATGATTCCAAAAAGTCATCTAGACCTCGCAATTGAGTTGATATTTCAAATAGAATGTTTTGACTTTTATTAGCATTAACTAATAAAGTATTTTTTATGGTCCAGTCATGAATTAATTGCCATTATTAATAATTGCTGTGGCAATATTTAAATTAGAGGGCTTAAAACTATAAAGGAGTTGTAGATCGTCAGCGTACATATTTAGTTTACAATTCATAGGAATTCTCGACAAATCTTCTGTAAACATGTTAAACAAAAGTGGTCTTAATATAGATCCCTGAGGAACACCATAAGGTGATGTTAGTATCGAGGAATCTGTATTTAATCTAGTATACTGTTCTCTACCGTGTAAGTAATTACAAAACCAGAACAATATATTGCTAGAAATACCATAATAATGAAGTTTAGCAATAAGGCAATTGATGCCAATTGAGTCGAATGCCTTAGTCATATCCAGTAAAGTTAGAGACGAAATCTGAGAATTATCGATAGCTGTCAAAATGTCATCAGTTAACTAATCCCCTTCTGAAAACCTGATTGATTTATAGGAATTATTGAATTTTCAACACAATATTCAAACAATTGATCAAAAATAACAGATTCAGCAACAGAGAGCATACTAATTGGACGCTGATTTATCAAAATAAATTTAGTGGAATGGGCAAATACTGGTTAAACA